TCACAGATGACATATAACATTTAAGGCCATGTGGTATAAGCCTGGAATTTGCACATAGCAACCTGAGACTAAAGCCGAAGCCCTTCACCTCTATGGCAGCTGCCCCTCTGTGCACCATTTCACATCAGGCACTTGGCTTTGGACAAGCCGGCAGGTGCCCTGTGCTTGTGGGCAGGGGTCCCGGCCTTGTCATGGAACCAGCATGATCATGAGGGCCAGAGAAGGGCAAAGCCAACTTAGCCTGGGTAAGCTGGTGTGTGGGTCAGAGAACTTTTGCCAGATCTACGTTGCTTAAGTCGAGTTCTAAAGACCAAGCTGGAGATGGGCATGGGGAAGGAAGTCTTCCTTCTAGAGAACCTCAGGTATCTGGTTGTCTGAAAGTTGCTTGGAGACATGCTTCTCCCTGAGTGCCTCCTTTCCAGCCTTCATGCCCAGCAGAAGCAGATGCTCAGGAGGCTGGGGAACGATTCCACAGAGCAGCCAGGGATAGAAGGGGGCTGGTCCTTTCAGAGACTACTGATAAGATGGGTCCGCCTTGCCCTTCCATGCCTCTTTTGGGGCCCCCCTTTTCCCTGATTCTCCTTAGACGCATGCATCTTGGCACCACATGTCTTGGGAAAGAGAAGCAATTGCAAAGGTCAGGCTTTTTTCCAATACCTGCCAGACTTTTTAGGCCATAATTCCAAGTTTTTATACTTCTCGTGCTAATCCAAGTGACCTTCTGCCTTTTAAAAAATTTTTGTTAAGGGACCAGCAGTTAGTGTAATGGCTATGTCGCTGGACTCTCACGTAGTCAACTGTGGTTCGAGTCCCGGACCCGGTGGCTTAAACTCACACCGGGCGTGTGTGCGTGCGTGCCCAAGATCCTGAGAGGAGAATGGAGGAGAAGGGATTGCGGTGTGACCATCCCCTCTGGGGGGTGATTTCTCGCTTTCTGTCTCTCTGTCTCTCTGTCTGTCTGGCGAGCGCATGCGTCCTATAGCAAAAACCTCTCAAAAAAAAAAAAAAAAAAGAAAGAAAGAAAGAAAAAAGAAAAAAAAACAAGAAAAAATTTTTTTGTTAAAATACACATAACATGGGCCAGCAGCTGACGTAGTGGTTACAGGGCTGGACTCCCATGTGGTTGACCATGATCTGAGTCCTGGAACCAGCACCTTGAAACTCAGGCTGGACTGTGTATGTGCATGCATACCCCAAATCCCAAGAGGAGAATAGAGGAGAAGGGATTGTGGCATGGCCATCCCCCTTAGAGGGTGATTTCTTGTTTTCTGTCTGTCTCTTCGGCAAGCACACACTCCCTATAGCAAAAATCTCTCTCAAAAACAAACAAACAAACAAACAAAAATACATGTAACATAAGGTTTACCTGTAGACCATTTGCAGGTCTGCAGTTCAGTGGCATTAAATTGATTCACGTTGCTGTGCAGCGGTCACCACCGTTCATCTCCAGAGTGTTTCCATCTTCCCAAACAGAAGTTCTGTCATCATTAGGCACTAATTCCCCAACCCTCTTCCCCCTTCCAACCTCCATGAATTTGACTCCTCTAAGGACCTCAGATGAGTGGAATCATTACAATATTTGTTTCTTTGTGACTGTCTTAGTTCACTTAATGTAATGTCTTCAGAGTTCATCTATATTGTGACTAGTTCAAATTTGCATGGGCAGACCACATTTTGTTCATCCATGCATACATTGATGGACACTTGGGTTGCTTCCATACACCTTTTGGGTGCTGTGAAGAATGCTGCAGTAACATGAGTGGACAGATAATCCCTTTGAGCTCCTGTTGTCTTAGTCACTTTGGGCTGCCATGACAAAACCCCACAGACTCGGTAGCCTAAACAACAGAAGCTAATTTTCTCAGTTCTAAAGGCAGAAGTCTGGGATTAAGGTGCCATTATTGTTAGTTTCTAGTGAAGGCTCCTTCCTGGCTGGCAGAAGGCTGCCTTTGCACAGTGTCCTCACATGACCAAGAGAGAGAGGACCCAAGTTCTCTGGTGTCTCTCCTTATAGACACCACTCTCATGACTTCGTCTAAATCTAATTTCTTTCCAAAGGTCCTATCTCCAAAGAGATCACATGGGGGATTAGGCCTTTAACATGTGAATTTGGGTGGGGGACACACAATTTACCCATGTCAGTCCACCACCTGGCTTCCCAAAATTCACATTCTTCTTGAATGCAAAATAGAATCATTCTATCCTTTCATACCCCAAAGCTCCTTAAATTGTTCAACAATCCACTCCCAAGGCTGAAGTCCAAAGTATCATCCAAATAACTGAATCAAATATGAATGAGACTAGAGTATGATTAGCCCTAAGGCATGTTTTCTCACCAATTGTGAACCTGTGAAACCAAATAAAATACAGTGGTGGACTAGGCATTGGTAGACTAGGGTAGACATTCTAAAAGAGAAGATATTAAAAGAAGGAAGGGGTAACAGCCCCAAACTTTACAAGGTAAGAGATCTTAAGACTCAAGAATAATCCTCTTTGGTTGGATACTTTGCCCTCCAGGCCCACTGGGGCAGCAGCATCACCCCCATAGATCTAGGTCCCACCCCCAAAGCTCTGGGCAGTACTGCCTCACAACTCTGGTGCCTTTCCAAAAGCTTTGGGTGGAGGCCATCTGGCTATTGAAACCAGGGCAGTAACCCTGGTGGTCTCTGACTTTGCCTCTTGAAGAATAGCACACATTCACAGCTCAACAGTGCTGTCATCCTGTCTTGTCAATTTTAAGTCTGACAGTCTTCATTTTATCTCATCTCTATCCCCTTCAGTTCAAACAGACATTGTTTCTGATTGTATAACTACTGAGTTTTTGTTTGTTTATCTGTTTCTGTAGGGCATGTACACTCACCAGAGAGAGAGAGAGAGAGAGGAAGAAATCACCCCATGGGAGTGATGGCCATGCCACAATCCTTTCTCCTCCAATCTTCCAGTCTCCTCTTGGGATTTTGGGCATGCATGCATATGTGCCCAGCATGATTTTCAGGCTACTGGGTCCAGGATTCAGACTGAAGTTGTCCATGTGGGATCTAGCACTTTAACATCTGTTACCTGCGTTGAGTGATATCCCTTCTATACCTTGGTGTTTTTGTTTGTTTGGTTAGTTGGTTGGTTGGTTGATTTTTTTGGTAGTATATGTAGGCTTTCTTATTTTCCGCCATATGAACAGGCTGGGAATTTTTCAAATCTTCATGTTCTGGTTCCTTTTGTTTCACTACTTTCTTCTTCACTTCATTGCTCTCCTTTCACATTTTACTATAAGTAGTCAGCATGAACCAGTTACTTTTTTATACTTTGCATAGAAATTTTTTCGTTTAAACAATCATTGTACTGCTCACTAGGTCTACCTCCCAGAAACTGCTAGAACACAGTTAGGCAGGTTCTTTGCTACCTCATAGCAAGAATTACCTTTTCTCTAGTTCCCATTGAATGGGAGAAATGAAAACTCTTCATTTCGCTCTGAGATTTCATGAGAATCACTTTAACATTTATTTTTCTAGTATGTACCTCAAAACTCGTCTAGCTTCTACCTATTTCCCACTCTTAAAGCCATTTTCACATTTTCAGATGTTTATTTTATCAGCATTCTATTTCTGATACTAAAGTCTGTATTAGCTAGGCTTCTCTGAGAAGATAGAACCAGCAGTATGTGTGTGTGTGTGTGTGTGTGTGTGTGCGCACAAGTGTTTGTGTGCATATGACTTTAAAAATGTTTGTGGAAAATACATACTATGAAATATTATACATGGATTTCAATTTTTAATACAAAAATAACCTCATGTCTTAATTCCATGTTTCCTATGAACTTTTTGAAGTCCTTTGTTATATATCAAATGAAGACTTTTATTGTAAGGAATTCACACACATAATTGGGGCTGTGGAGTCTGAAATCTATTGGGCAGGCTGGAAACTCAGGAGTTGAGACTACACTCTTAAGGAAGAATATTTTTCTTCAGAAAATCTTTTTTTAAAGAATGATTTATTTAATTTTATTTATTTTTTAATTTGACTATAGAGAGACAGACTAAGAGAGAGGGAAAGTGAGAAAGCAAGCTGCCAAGTTCAGGACCTGAACCGCAGTCAACCATGTGGGAATCCAATGCCCTAACCACCCTGTAACCTGCAGACCTAGGTTTTGCTCTTAAGGCTGCCAACTCATAGATAAGGCCCACTCACTTTGTTACTTTGTATCAATTCATTATAGATGTGTCTGAGTCTCCAGGCTGGTATCCGGATGCCCAGCTCTTTTGAGGATCCATTTGTGTGACTCTGAGTCCAAGGGCTCTCCTCTAGGCACTGGGAGCATTTCTCATGTGGGCTCTGGTTCCAACCTCCATTTGGGGCTTCTGGAATCATCTCAGGGCCCATCCCAGGAGCATTTGGCATCACCAGCCTGCTCCTCCCATATGTCAAGGATCGTGTGGCTTCTTCGCATTAGGCAACAACAGACCCATGGGGCTTGAGTTGGAATCATTTCCTGTCGGTGTTGGTGTTTTCACTGTCCATCTTGCTGTGCTCACATTTGTGGGTAGAATTCTTTCTGCTGAACTAAAATCTGACAACGTGTTTTAAATGCTTTCTTGAGATTTTTCCCTCTTGTAGTTATCGTTTATAGCTAATCAGAGTGTCAGAACCAGTTCAGCCTGGCAGGAATACAGGACATAGTTAAGGGACATCTCTAGGCTCTGCCCTTATTGAATTCTCTACTGCCATACCAATATCTTCCTCCTTATGCCTCTGGACAGTGGCACTCGCTCACATGCGTTCAGGTGGAATGACAACTTTATCATCATAAAATGGCCAGGGGCTTGGAGAGCTGCGAGCTTGGTGCCTGGCTACGCAGAAAGACACGCCCCGATCGTGCGGCAGCTGTCATTCTAAGAACTATGATTGGACTCCTCTTGGTGTTAGGCTTTTGATGGTGTAAGCGTCTATTAAAAAATTATTGTTCTGCTGTTGACACTTAATTTAATGTGACTTCCACTTTGCAGGTGGCGATCATAGCCGGTAACTTTGAACTGGCAGAATATATCAAGAACCACAAGGAAACAGACATCGGTAAGCGGGCATGTGGGTAAATCATCAGGTTCCGTTTGGCTGAGGAGTTACTCTCCAGTTTTTGAAAATCCTGCTAAGATTGATCAGAGCTCACTTTTGGCAAAACTTAATGGAGCACAGAGTGCTAGCATGTTTTCCATCTCTGGTCTGATGTTTTCATAATTTATAGCAGGGACAGGGGGAAGCAGACCTTAGAGTGGGGCCTCTGAAATGTGCAGGCTGCTCCCCTGGAAGGACAATGTTCTATGACTGTATTCTGAGGGCCCCATTGCAGGATTACTCTCCACACTAACATCATTGATTTTGTAATGTGGGAAGAGGAAGAGGACATGTCTAATTTATGTGCGGGATTAGGTATAGAATTCTCTACCTGATTTATAGCTCTGATTTTCCCACTTATTGGTAAAAACAGACAGATAGAATGATCATAGATTTGCCCAAATTTGTAGACTATACAACCCGAATGTAAACTACCACCTTTGGGTGAAACGCAGGTCCATCATTTGTACCGACTGCACCACTGGGGTGAGGGGTGTGGATAATGGGGGAGGCTGTGCAGGTATAAGGGCCGGGGTACAGAGGGAATCCATGGACTGTCCTCTCAGCTTCACTGGGAGCCGAACACTGCTCTGCGTGTTTACAAACCTAACAAAGGGGAAAGGCATCAGGCAGGGCAACTTGGTAAGTGTCAAGCAATGGATGTGTGTGGCATTGGTCTCTAATCGGTGAATTAGATTAATTTGCAGCTAATTTAGATGCATTTATGGGAAGTTGCCGTAACAGACATGACTCCCGTTTAAACAAAGAGATGGCAACTAAATGAGGGAATGAGAGAGCCAGTGGCATCTTCTCACCTCCCCTCGAGTTGCCTGTATTTCTCTTCGCCCAAGATTGTGCTGATGACCATTCCCCTTTTTAGTACCTCTTGTGCCAACCAGGAGGGCAGTCTCTGGGGCTCCTCCTCTGTCCCATCGCCCTGCCATCGGCTGGGCCCAGTCTTGCACCCTGGATCAGCCCACTGGCCTGTTCCCTCCAGCCCCGGGCTTCCACAGGACCTGCAGCGGGGAGCAGTCCCGTTGGACCAGCAGCGGTGAGCTTTCTAAGATGGCATCATCCCATCGAACGTGTCGGGATGGGGTTTCTGGGTGCTTTGAGACAGCCAGATGGCATCCGTCTCTGATTGCCTGTGCCCCTCACCCTGATTTTGGTGTTGGGGGTGAGGGAAGTCATGTGTTTGGCTGCTGAGTCTTCCCTGTGTCGACTGTGTGCCTCACATCGATTTTGGCCAGTACCCATGCTGCCTTAGAGAATTGCACAAGGATGCAAAAGCAGTTGCTTTGCTTGCATCATCCAGTGCTGAGCATCGGGGCCTCCTGAAGGCTATGCCCGATGCTGACGCGTACATTCCTCCTGTGAGGCAGGGCAAATCTCTTAATTGCTCTGAGATCCAGGGCTCCACCTTGGCTGCATCAGCACCTCCCTGAGCGCATTATAGAGATTGATGAGTTAATGTCTGCAAAGTGATTTAGAAAATGAACTGAGCTCTCGCAATGCCAAAGACCGTCTTCCTCCCACCTCCTTAATGCAGGAGTACAGTAGAGTAGGAGAGGTTTGGCTAGAAGTCTAAAAATACCAGCTGCTGTTAAGGGAATCGAGACTCTATGAAGCAGGGCACACAGCCAAGCAGGGTGGTGCAGGTGCACCCCATGGCTGCCCGGGTTGTTCTGGCATCCCTGGACGCAGACCCACCATTAGCTCAATGGCGCTCTGAGTTGCCTGCCATGGTACCAAGCTCTGAGCTACCCTCGTTATGGTTAGTTATTAAGTGCCAATCTTGATCTGGGTCAGCACAGTGACGGAGGTATGAAGTGCTTGCTTATCCCAAGTTGTTAAATAGTGCCTAGAAACCCTAGCCCCGCTCCGAAGCCTTGTACTTCCCCTCCCCTCTCCAGATACAAGGGCCAGCCACTAAGCCTTCCTACTCACAACAGGACAGGTTGCTAAGTTCTTTGAAGCATCAAGCTGATTTTCAAACTCACCCTGGGGCGGTTCAAGGCTTTTCTCCTTCAATTTTTAGATATAATTATCTTCCTTCCTATGAAGCGAACTCCTCTTTACAAACAGATACTTTCTTCATTATTATGAAAGTAATCCCTATTTGTTGGATGAATATATTTTAATTAGCTGAACAATTATTTGAACAATTACTTACTTAAACTATGAACATCTGTTTTCATCCGCAGTCCTGTTGCTAACAACTGAGTATCTGAGTCTGGGTGATTTATAAATAATAGAGGTTTATTTAGCTCACAGTTTTTGAAGTCCAAGGTCAGGGAGCTGTATCCGGTGAGAGTCTTCTTGCTGGTGAAGACATTTGTAGAGTCTTGAGGCAGTCAAGGACATCACGTGGCAAGAACATTCATGTGTCCCGGTCTATATCTCTTCTATATCTACCATGAGTCAGTCCTGCGGGCCCTGCTCTGATAACTTTATATAATCCTAGTTACTTCCCCAAAGGCCCCTTCTCTTAACAGCATAATCGGACTAAGTCTCCACCTCTCAACGCCATCACAGTGGCTCACCAAATTTTGGCACAAACATTTTGGAGGAACACATTCAACCCACAGTGACAGTTGAGCAGAGGGAAGCCACCGTAGGCTTGTGTGACTTCCGTAGCATGGAGGCATGAGGTCCATACCTTTGTAAGCCAATACATTTGTGGGGCTGGCTTCCATGATCACCCAATACAGGAATCAGTGTCTTTCTTTAACCTGTTTTGGGCACTTTCCCAGGACCCCAGAAGGAAGGGATAGTTTAGAAAATCTGCTTCCCCACAGGGTGCCATTTGCATCTCCAAAGGTGGGGAAAAAGACCTTTTCTTTCACCAGAATTGTATAAGGATTTATGATTGTGAATTAGCAACCTGGCATCAAGGCAAACTGTGCCATGTGAATCGACTGTGTTGGAAATTTTCCAGAGAGAGATGAAGGGCGTGAAGGCTACAGGTCCTTCATAGACCCGGATGTCTCTCCTTGTGTTGATTGATTGAAGCACGGTGAATCCATCGTATAATTTGATTGAACACCGTGGTAACTGAACCCTAGTCTGAACCCAGTTGTTTCTTTCCTACCCCGTGGCCACTTTGCACCTCCTCTCGTTCCTCGTGGGGCCAGATGGTGGGTGCATGGTGCGTGGGAGGTCCGATGGTCTCTCTCCCCTAGCCTGTGCATTTGTGTCCTGTGTAGGTCTTGCTAACTTCTGCACGTGGCTCTATGCCCATTGTCTAGGACCGCGGGCCTACTTCTGGATGGATGAATACGGTGAAAACACTGTAGGCCCGGCCTGTCATGTAGGACTTCACAGTTACTCGGTCCTCTACTCCACATGCAGTTCTCCATTTTAGAGGGAGAACCTGGGAAGTAGCATGCCATTTGGGCTTGCACTGCCCAGAAGCAGAGATGAGATTTGAGAGAGAGTGGTTCATTGTAGGGCTGATGCCAGGAAGTATCAGTGAGACGCAGGGAAGGGAGGAGGTGAAGAGCAGGATACCAGTATACCGAGTCCCTCTGTGGTCTGCTGGGAGGCTGCAGAGAGCATGCCTGGGCATTGTCCCACCCAGTGGTGAAGTGGTTTGTATTTATCCACCAGTCCAGATTCCTGGTGACTGCAGAGTCCTACGAAGTGCCAAGAAAAGCCACTTTAGGGAACTGCAGCGGCCTGCCAGGGTGAGCAGTGCATGTGCATAGAGACGGGAGTGCCTGGTGACACAGACAGGCGCTGTCTGAAGGCTAGAAGTTTGCAAAAACAACGTACTGGAGTAATTGAACAAGCCCATCTGACTCTGGTGTACTGACCTGGACAGCCTGGCCTCTCAACCACCACACCCCCCACCGCCTCCCTGGGCAAGCCAAGAGGAGCTTTCTTCCACCACACAAGGGCAGCAGGCTTCTGCGTGGGCTAGAACAGGGCAAGCTGAGGCATCCACAGCAGTCCTGTCCAGGAACCAGACTGGACAGTGTGGATGGAGGGAAAAGGAGAGGTCTGGGCCATAGACCACCAATGTGGCCACAGACCACCACTCCTGTAACCACCCTTATGGAGGGTTCTCTCCTTAGTGCCTCTTTTCCTGGCTTCTTCACTTTGTTGCTGCCAGAGTCAAGTATTTATCTGCTCTGGGCCAGCACTCCAGATTGCTTAGAGGGGAGGGGACAGGGCTGGAAGAGCTGTGGCAGCAGCATGGGACTGAGCCCATAGGCTGTGAGAGGTCATCTGGGATCCAGGAGTCGCAATGGGCCCGTGGCAGTGCAGCAGCCAGTCCCCAGGGCAGTGTGTGCCACTCCAGAGGCCTGTCACCTGTGCTTGACAAGGTGCTCATCACCATCCTGGAGAGAAGTCACATGGAGACAGACCTGGTCCTGCCACCCGGGCCCAGAGTAAGCTCTTGCCTTTGCTTTCGTTGTCAGTTGTTTTCTCTGCAAGTCCTGGATTTCTCTTTAGCATTTACCTTCAATTTTAACATTTCAAAGAGAAACATTTTCCTCAGCATTTCTTGCCTATGAAATATTCAAAAGGCACCAGGAATGGCCCTTCCCAGAATGTTCTCTACAAGGTCAGAGAGAGGGTCTATTCGGGTCACCCAGGAGACCTTAGGGATGAGCAATGCAGCCTGGTCACTGCTCCGGGGAGGACAAGGGGTGCGGGACAAGCTCTCAGGGTTAGAGTCACCCCCATAGGGTTGTGGAAGAGAATTCTGACTGTGAGACCTTAGAGGCCTTTAGCCCAGAACTGCAGCAAAACTGCTCCCAATTTCTCCCAGTCTGAAGAGGAAGTCATGCATCCTTGAGAAAGCAGTCTGCTTTGTGCTGAACCAGCGGGTCCCTGAGATGCCTGGATTCCCACTGGCCTGCCCACCCACTCTATCTCCACCTCCCCCTGCAGCTCCTCAGCAAGCACCTTCTATGTGGGTCCTGTGCATTTGGGGATTTGGAAACATTTGCACA